GGCATTGTGTAGTGGGACTGGGAAAGTGAGGAACCGAAATCGCGGGTTGTGGACATCGAACAACTAACAGTTAGGTTTTGAAATATGATAGATTGACAATTAAAGCAAGTCTAGTGACGGTTAGAAATATCAAGCAAATAACAAAAGTAACTTCAGCCGAGCACTTGTACCAATCAAAGTGGTCTTTATGTAAATAAAATGGGTATCATCAGGTTTTGTTGAAAATGTGCGACACTACTACAACTATCATTTGCTAAGGATATCTGGCACACCATGATCAAGTATAAATGAAAATGCTTAAATTAAAGAGTGGAGTATGATACCGGACGAAAGAGCGTCACCGAAGCAAAGGCGAGCGACCCGACAGAAAGTAACAAGCATCAGGAGGGTTTTGTATTCGTGAGACCTTACATCCAATCAACATTCAGCCTTCAGCGGCGGGTGAGGCCTTTGACCTAGGACAAATATGATGTGGCGAAAAAACCTTCCAAACAATGATTTTAGACGATAGTTTATGGTCAGATCTTTAATTTAAAACGAGGAATGGTCGTACTAGAGTCGATTCTATGTGTTGTGTTCGCCCCCTGGATAATGTAGTATCGCATTCTCGCTAAACTCCGGGCCAGAAAGAATCATTCATCGAGGGCTTTGCACTATCTACCCATAAAATACAAGGCGAAATAATTTTCCAAATAAGTCAATGCTAGTAGGTTACGAATGATCTAGGTCTACTTAAACTATTCCATAGTTTTAATGACGCACTATTTTTATCTTGTTTATATGCTCAAAAATGATGGATAGTTTTCCCTAGCCAATGGTGGAAGCGGCGGGCCAATAGTTTGGTTGTATTAATGGATTGTAAGATTTTGCATTCTTAACCACTGTTCTGCCATATCCAACCCAGTCCATTCCCACCAATCCCTCTGTTTTTAATCTCACAGTGGCTAACTACGGTTGTTTGATTGATGCTCTTGATTGTGCAAACAAGTATCTGGTGCCGTTGTAGCAGAGATAAATGGGAAGGCTCGTGCAAGAAAATAGTGCTGCACGACCTCCGATTGTTGTATGCTTTCCCCTTACTGTTCAATTTGTTCCTCATTTCTGAATTCTGCCCTCCGAAGATTACCCATTTCTTATTTTTATCTGGCTGAGTTTTGCGCTGATTAGTATATCGACACGTTCCACTAATTTGTCTCTTACATATTAGTTGAAGATGATTTCGCCTTCAAGGATGACGAAGAGGTTGCCATTCCTCGCGCATCATTGAACAAATATATAAAAAATATTCTACCGGATGCTCGTCTTGCTATTGAAACGCGTGAACTGCTTCTTAGTTGCTGTCACAAATTCATCCACCAGCTCTCCACCGAGGCTAATGCCGCTTGTGCTCGAGCTAATAAGAAGACAATCAACCCCGAACACATCCTTAGTGGTAATTCTTGTTTACGGCACTTACTGCTTTTCTGCAAGGGCTTGATTCTATGGGCCTTTCAAGCTACGTTGCTGATGTTAGGGCGGCTAATGAGGGAGCCAAAGTGGAACTAAAGGACCGAAGAATGCTCAGCGCGAGTCACCGATTCAAGAAACACGACAGTGCTGAGTTACAGCGACTTATGGAGGAACAAGAAAGGATTTTTGAATTGGTTGGTGATCTCGGTTTTGTAAAATGTTTTGAAATCTCTGGATCTCTATTTTGTGATCCACCATTAAATCATTTTCCATTGCTTTAGTGGGCTGATGCTTTGCAAACGACGAGATCTTTGGTCTAAGTTTGAATTACAAGGCAAAGAAGCTTAATTTGTGTTACGGCTTCAGTGTCAGCATTATTAAATTTAGCACGTAGAGCATCTGTCGGTTAGCTATTGCCAACCGTCCTGTCACGATGTTTTTAAAGTGGTGCCAACTAGTGAGCGGACGGTCGACAGTGACCCTCCCTACATGTTGCTTCAGACTTGCGAAGATTGGCAGCTTACTTATTTTTGGATCCTCACTTTGCGAAATTCCATTATTTCAACACTGAACCCTTTATTTAAGAATAGAAATGTGCAGTGTGTATGAAGGTATTTGTCTTTGATTGGGCTTTTCCGTCCCGTTTCATGGATGTTGCCTCAACTCCTTACAAACTTACCTACCCCTTCATCATTCCGATCAAATGAAAAACATATGTTGTGGCTTCTTTTTCAGCTTTGCAC